GAGCAGCTCTGCAACGAGCTGGGCGTCAAGATCCGCTGCTTCGAGGTGTGGCACGACAGCAGGAACCTCGAGCTGCTGCAGAGGCTCGACGCTGGACGGTGAGCTCCGCCGCACTCACGCTTAAATGCCGACGGGCGCCGTGGCACCCCTTCCAGTGTTTCCCAAGGGGCAGTCCGCCCACCGCACCCCATCAGGAATCAGCAGCCTGGGGTCCCAACCCCCCGGGGGCCGCCTTCATCCGGGTGCAACAGCACGGGGCCCTCAGGAGGGAGCCCCGTTTTGGGGACCCTCCGCCTTTCGGGGCCCTGACACGTCAATTAGCGCCAGCCGCGCGGGGGGCTCACACGGAGTGCTCCTTTTGCCGGCTGGCGTCAGTCGACCGTGGCAAATCCCCCCCCCCCCCCCCCCGTTCCCCCGCGCGCGTGCGGCTCGCCGACCGTCCAGCCCCGCTTCCGAGGCTGCAAAACTCCCCTCGCCCCAGGTGCAACGGCGTGCCATTCTTCTACAATAAGCGCTCCAAGCAGTTCATCTGCGGCGCAACCACGTACGAGAACCTCAAGACCTGGGCGCTGGGCAAGACGTGCGAGGAGTTTGCGCCGCCGCCGGAGCTGGAGAAGCTCGCGCGCGAGCAGCAGGAGGGCCCGATGAACAAGGTGCAGGCGCTCATGGCGGAGGTGACTGCGAAGGCGAAGGCGATGATGGACGAGCGGCAAGAGAAGGAGAGCGCCGAGTAGCAGAGTCGACTAGATATTAAGCGAAAGTTAGAGAGCGGGGCCAGTGCGTCTTTATTCGAAAGAGTTTCCGGTTGACGAACCCGGCGAGCGAGGGGTCCCCGCGCATGACGCAATTGTCCTTACGGCTTTACTCGATGTACTCCATATCTCGTCCACACACCGTACTTTTACGTTTTTAGAAAAGGGAGAGGGGGTTGTGTTCTCTAGGCCCCTAAGGGCCCTACGCGCGGCGTGAGAGCTCGGAAGCGAGCTTTGCACGGCGATCGAGGATGGCGCGGTTCACCCCCTTCACCGAAGCGATGGAAATGCGTCTCTCTCTCCACACATGATATTTTATGTGTGATCTTGTGTAGAGCCGTAGGGATTGATGCGATCATGAGACTTGAGAGCTGTGGCGTTACACCTTACACAGCAGCAGCTCAGTTGGGACTAGGGTTGGGAGTGTTCGTGCCTCACCCTCCCTGCTCCCAGCGCCCTCACGACACGTTCTTCCAGGACCTCGACACCTTTTACAGAAAACCGAAATGCAGTAAAAGGAGCGTACCCCCGAGGAACACTGTACACGTAAAAATAAGGAGAGCCTCGGGCCCCTCGTGCCGGGTGGGTGCAGGGAAGGGAGGGAGTTGAGGTGCACGCCGCGCGCGCCAGGGGGCAGGGGGGGGGGGGGAGGGGGGGGGGCGCACCGAGAGGGCGACCACGAAAGTGGCGAGCCGGTTCGCGGACGGGTCGGCCCGGTTGTAGACGCTGATCGAACGTGCGCGATGCGCAGCGCTACGTACCGATCTCGGCGTCTGGTCTGCCGCACTGCGCGTTCGCGAGAGACTGTGTCAAGCCAAGCGCGCCGTGTCTCTCTCTGCTGACGCGACCATGGACGCGCGACACCGGTCACCGCACACAATTGTTCCAAAAGCGGGTACCTTGTCGTTGATGTCGGCGAAAGGTCCTTTCAAGCCACTTCAAGGCTAGAGCTGTTTAACATTAACTTTGGGCCTAACAGTTGCGCTATTGTTGGCTGAAATCCTTAACGTTGTTTCAAGTGTTCACCCCAGCCCATGCTGTTACTGTTTGTTACTGTTGTTACTGTTGTTCAGCGGCCAGCAAGCAGAACGCAAAAAACCCGGGTAAAACCCGAAAATACCTGGGATTTCCCGGGTATTTTCGG